GCAAGTTGTTTTGATTAACATTTTCTTCCATTCTGTAGGAATGGCAACGATGAGGCCATAGTACAGTGTAAACGGAATATTGAAGTTCACTTTGGGAGTGAGCCCGCCCAGTAAGAGAAAGGTGTTGTCTTCTTTTAAAACAATTCACACTGGGGATTTAACCCCCTCCAAGCGCTAAAAAATGCAGGTACACCAATTTTGCTTTGTTTTTCGCCAAACTTTGCTTTTATCCTTGGATACTGTCTTGATTATTTTAGTTGGAAAAAAACTACAACACGTGATATATAAAGTTTCTTCATACTATAAATTACATCAAATGATAGAACACGACTAGGAGAACAACGTACTGAAAACCGTTTCTCAATATGACAAATATTTTTTGATTTAAAACAATTTAAAGAAATTTCAGTGTCCCTCCCGAACTATTTTTTCTCAAATCAACCCCCTTGGTTTACTTTCTTCAGTTTTCATTGAAAAATGCTACGAATTCGATAAAATGAAGATTTTGGTGTAGCTAAAAATAGCATCGTTTTGGATTTTTTGTTTTCGCCTTTAGAACGATAATTTAATCTCTTAGATAATCGATGAAGTCACTTTTTGTGACGTCACACAGTAGTTTTTGTTGCTTATAAACNCAAATGATAGAGCACGACTAGGAGAACAATGTACTGAAAACCGTTTCTCAATATGACAAATATTTTTTGAGTTAAAACAATTTAAAGAAATTTCAGTGTCCCCCGCCCCGAACTATTTTTTCTCAAATCAACCCCCCAGTTTTCATTGAAAAATGCTACGAATTAGATAAAATGAAGATCTTGGTGTACCTAAAAATGGCATCGTTTTAGATTTTTTGTTTTCGCCTTTAGAACGATAATTTAATCTCTTAGATAATCGATGAAGTCACTTTTTGTGACGTCACACAGTAGTTTTTGTTGCTTATAAACGTATCAATAGCTTTAATTTGGATTTTTTTAAGCTATACCCGTTCTGCTCATCAGAAGCAATCAGCCTGCAATATAATTGGAGTTGCAAACACGAAAAAGAGCTTTCATTTCGAAAGTTTTATTTCAGGGTGGATCACTGCTTTACTGATAGGCATTCCTTGACGTTCAAATTGTCATATCTCCTTTAATATTTGAGATATTAAAAAAAAACGGTTTTCAACTTCTCTCGTTGCCCTCTTTTGAAAGCGTTAAAACAACGCTGGAATTTCCAAACTCTAAATTAAGAGTATGGTGTGACGTCATCGGTTATGACGTCATCATCTGACTTTTGCTGTCAATTTTTTCCTAAAAAAGTTGGACTTTTGTCCTCTATTTACTTGCCAAGTTTGATAATGGCATGTCAAGTTTATTTGAAGTTATACAAAAATGAGCGCTCAAAGGGGTTTCTATCCCCAGTGTGATTGTCTAGTACTTGTAATCTGAACTGGCCGTCTCCTATCAGGATGCGACTATTAATCCAGATGATTTTGTTTTGAATACAGTGGTCTTCTGAAAATTTGTCAGAAGAGCATTTTTGAAGAGCCCGTTTGTGTAAATTAAGGATAAGTGTGGACGGCAAGCCTACATGTAACCGTAGAAATAAACCTGTGTTTTCAAATTTCTCCTGTGTAGTGTGGACGGGGCCTGAGTTGCTTTGTCGAAGTAATGGAATCGAAAATTGAGTTAATGCATACGAAAAGCATGTGGAATATCCGTTGGTTTTCGTATTTGAAATTTTGGTCGTTTTTCTGCTTTTAAATGCATTTCTTGGCTTTTTATTGAATGATAACCAATATTAACTGACGTTCCTGAACATTTCTTACTTTGGGCCATCTTTGAAGCGAATTCTATGGTTAAAAACGGACGGGATTATTTAACCCTCCCATGTAGTGATTTGCAAACATTTGCATACGATATGTCTTCGTTTTGCTTATTCAATTTATTCGGTTTCGTGAAATGCTTATTGGTGAGTTGCTATGAAGGTTATTGATAAACGACTAGTAGAGCTACGGCCGATAAAATGACTGCCAAGTTGTCGGTAAAAATAATATTGAAATTACGCTTTAGAGTGTTCATTAAATAAATTAATTGAAAACCGCACGTTTTTAATACTTTAGACGTTTTTCGGCTACTATATGCATTTCTTGGCTTTATCTTCTATCTTGGGTTCACAGTTTTATCTTTTTGAAAAAGAGAACAGGTTTTGCTATTTGACACTCGAACGTAGTGATTTGCATATGTTAATCATGTTTATGGAGATTTCCTCGTTTTGGTTGTTGTTCAGTTCATTCGGCTGGTGAAATGCTTATTGGTAAATTTCTTTAAAGGTTGTTGTGTTGAGTAAATGATTAGTTTTTTTTTTTTTT